AATTAATCATTACTATTGTAGTTATTTAAACAAACAACAACAAAACTTGCCGGAAAAAATATTTAGTCACTCACCTAAATCCATATTTATTGGCAGTCAGTACTGCAATGTCACCAGCAGAGGTCACTACGCGATCAGTGTGAGTGACGCGATCGCAGCTCAGATTATCACTGAATGACGAGTGTACGGACACTTCTCAATCTGTTTACTAGCAGAACCTCGAAAAAAGAACATTAAACACATTTACATATCTAAATGAGGAGATACCACGGTTTACAGATACAGTAGAGATCATATAATCATATGATTAAAGGGGTCCAGGGTAAAACTAGTGTTATAGTATAACTTAAACACTATTATAGTATTTATTAATATTTTGAGTTATCGTTTATATTTTCATTTTAGTTATTGGGTTGTGCTTTTAGTTTTAGTTTATTTAAGTTTCTTTTAGTCCATTTAGTAGTTTTAGTGCTTCAACATAATCTTAAATTAGTCAAGGCAACATTTCAGTTTTCATCTACTTTTTACACATAAAAAAAAAAAGCTTTACTTCATTTAGCAAAACTGTTGTTATACCTTTACCTAACAATAGTGGTAAAAACCTTCCCAAAACACCTCCCTTCTCTTTTTAAGGTATTTTCCCATTACATTTCCTGACAGTGTGAATTTGTGTTGAATGTGCTGTATTTCCGTGTTTTACTGCAGTTCTCTCTCTCTCTCACACACACACACCCACAGCGCACACAGACTTGTTCTCAGTTCTCCCTCGGCAACAGTATCTTATTGGTTGAGCCGCTGTGACGTCAGCCAATGACAAGAAGGGGGGAGAAAAAAAAGGCTTTGGGGTTTCCTCCTCAAAACTGACTGGAAACACCAGGGTGTGTGTGTGTGTGTGTGTGTGTGTGTGGAGGAGGAGAGGAAGTTAATCCGAAGACACACCCAAACTACAAACACACACCCGTTTGCTGGTGTTTTGGTGAAACCCGACACAAATAAACTCTTTAATTACTGCTAAAATCTGTTCTCTGGAATATTGTGTGTATGTGTGTGTGAGAGAGAAAGAGTGTGTATGTTTGTGTGTCTCTGTGATTGTGTGTGAGAGAGAGAGAGAGAGAGAGAGTGTGTGGAGCCCTAAGTAAAATGCTTTCAAATGTGTGTATGTGAAAGAGAGTGTGTATGTGTTTAGTCGTTCGGCTCTTTTAGCCCTGTTTAAGTTTGTAAAAGCAAGCGTCAGAAACAGGAAATGCTCCGAGTTCTGGGCTGATCACTTCCTGTGGCGTGACGCGTCAGTCAGTCCAGAGACACACACAGGCTGTTCTCGCTCAGTGTTTCTGTGTGTGTGTGAGTTCACAGTTGAGTTTCCTTGATTTTTAATAATGGTTTAATTTTGTAGTTTCAGTCTTCATTCCAATACTGAGACACTTGTGTGTGTGTGTGTGTGTGTGTGAAGGGTTAACGTCGTGAGCTAAGGGACTGTTTGGATTGAGATGGGGGTTTGTTTTGGTTGTGTGAGGATATGGGGGCAGGGTGTGTGTGTGTGTGTGTGTGTGTCGACAGCTGCTGGTTTAGTTTCCCGGGAACTTCAGGACAATGAGACTCTGTGAGGGAAACAGCTGCCAAACACGTCAGCGCCACTAAATCACTTCACAAACTCTCGGCACTCCAGCCTTCCCAGCATGCCCTGCTTTGTTTCATCGCTCCCTGCTGGAATCAACAAGTGTTCAGTAGAACGCAGCCTGCAGACGCGCGACTCCACGACACACACACACACACACACACACACTCGAACGCATTTTCACTTTTGTTCAAAATTGTAAAGAAAACAAACATGATTATGATCTCGCTCGCTCACACACTGACGGTTTCTATCTGGAGTTTCAGGAGAAAGAGCCCTTCCTCCGCCCGTCACACACTCTTTTGTGATGCTGAACACACACACACACACACACACGTCGTTCACATGCCCGCGGGACGCTGATGTGTGTGAGCCTCGGTACCAGAAACTGACCAGGGAGTGAAATATCCACATCAAACCATGTGATACACACGACAAAACCACATAAAATAACCCGTGTGTGTGTGTGTGTGTGTGTGTTTAATGCAGACTAACTCATTTCATCCTGATCAGATTAACAGCTAGCTTTATAATAACTAGCGAGCTAATCTGTGTGTGTGTGTGTGTGTTTGAGGGTCAGGGATTAACCAGCTGACCGAACCCTCCTGAGATCATCAGCGTCTCGATGATTAACATCCAGTATAATCACACAAACTATCGAAGGGTCAAAGGTCATGCTTCAGGTTCTATTACGAACGACACACTCCACCACCGACTACTCTATGTGTGTGTGTGTGTGTGTGTGTGTGTGAGTGAGAGTATATGTGCATGTGTGTCATTGTATAGGTGTGTGTTTGTGTGTATGAGTGAGAGTGTGTGTATATGTGTGTGATTGTATATGTGTGCGAGTGTATGTGTGTGTCAGTGTATATGTGTATGTGCGTCCAAGCGTCAGGTGAGTGAGAGTGTGTGTGTAAGTGTGTATGTAGAGAGTGTATGTGAGTGTGTGAGAGAGAGTGTGTGTGTGTGTAAGTGTGCGAGTGTATATGCGTGTGTGTGTGTGTGTGTGTGTGTGTGAGAGAGAGAGTGTGTGTGTGTGTGTGTGTGTGTGTGTGAGAGAGAGTGTATGTGTAAGTGTGCGAGTGTATATATGTGTGTGTGTGTGTGTGTGTGAGAGAGTGTATGTGTGTAAGTGTGCGAGTGTATATGTGTGTGTGTGAGAGAGAGAGTGTGTGTGTGTAAGTGTGCGAGTGTATATGCGTGTGTGTGTGTGTGAGAGAGAGAGAGTGTGTGTGTGTGTGTGTGTGTGTGAGAGAGAGTGTATGTGTAAGTGTGCGAGTGTATATATGTGTGTGTGTGTGTGTGAGAGAGTGTATGTGTGTAAGTGTGCGAGTGTATATGTGTGTGTGTGAGAGTGTGTGTGTGTGAGAGAGTGTGTGTGAGTGTATATGTGTGTGTGAGAGAGTGTGTGTGAGTGTATATGTGTGTGTGAGAGAGTGTGTGTGAGTGTATATGTGTGTGTGAGAGAGTGTGTATGAGTAAATGCATGTGCATGTGAGAGAGTGTGTGTGTGTGTGTGTAAGTGTGTGAGTGTATATGTGTGAGAGAGAGAGTGTGTGTGTGTAAGTGTTTGAGTGTATATGTGTGTGTGAGAGAGTGTGTGTGAGTGTATATGTGTGTGTGAGAGAGTGTGTGTGAGTGTATATGTGTGTGTGAGAGAGTGTGTGTGAGTGTATATGTGTGTGTGAGAGAGTGTGTATGAGTAAATGCATGTGCATGTGAGAGAGTGTGTGTGTGTGTGTAAGTGTGTGAGTGTATATGTGTGAGAGAGAGAGTGTGTGTGTGTAAGTGTGTGAGTGTATATGTGTGTGTGAGAGAGTGTGTATGAGTAAATGCATGTGCATGTGAGAGAGTGTGTGTGTGTGTGTGTGAGAGAGAGAGTGTGTGTGTGTGTGTGTGAGAGTGTGTGTGTGTGTCCAAGCGTCAGGAGTGTCTCTGAACAATAGTGTGGATCTCCATATGTGGGATGCTGGTGTTCAACAGGCCATCTGCCCGTGTGTTTGTGTCTGACGCACACACACACACACACACACACACACACTTGAAACGACCTCAATTAAACCAGCGATTGTGCTTTTATGACGTCAGGAAAGAAACTCTCCCAAAACCCCAGCCGACCATAATCACTCAGACAGAACAAAACAGCACAATAGAGCGGCTCAGAGCTAGCGTTGCCTAGCCTCCCGCCTGAACAGAGCGCTAACCTTTCAGCTCGCGAGTGAGCGATGGCAGACACTATTATGCAAAACACAATTTACTACAGGTCCTGCTAATGCCCACATCATAAGCTTGTAGCTAAAATTTCATTCGCTTCAATAATTTGACATTAGCATGTTGTTTACAATTAATTTAGTTTGATGTTAGCGGGCAACTTACCAACTGTTTCCAATCATTTATAATATTAGTTTGTTGCTAAGAGTCCAATAACATGACTCGACATGAAATCGTTGTTCTCAGTTGATTTCAGTAGAGTTTGATGTTAGCATGTAGCTAAATGCACAAATCACCGACTGATTACAAGAGTTTAATAGTAGTTTGTAGCTAAAATTTCCTTCATTCCAATCATTTTTCATTAGCATGTTGTTCACAGTGGATTCCAATAATTTGATGTTAGCATGTCGCTAAAGTAATGATTCAATTCTTGAGTGATTCCAATAGTTTGATGTTAGCATGTCGCTAAAGTAATGATTCAACTCTTGAGTGATTCCAATAGTTTGATGCTATGCTAAGTCTCTAATAAAACACAAATATTACGTAAAAGTCTATTGTTAAATGAATTTATCAACTTGGCGGTTCGTAATCTTAAAGTCCCCGTGAAATCAAAATTGAACCTATTTACTTTGTTAGCGCATATTACTAGTCTTGTGGTGAACAATTAATCCGTGCAAGTAAAAATATATTTAAAAAATGTTTTACCTTAGTAATCTTTCATCAAAATCTGAAAAGTTACTTCCGGTCTGGAACGGTTTCTTTTTCTGATGACGTAGGTTTCACAACTTGGGTGGGGAAACGCTTAACCACTCCCCTCAAACCGTTAGTTTGCTATGAGCGAGAGATGGAGAGGAGGAGCGCTAGAGTAAAACCCTGCCCTCTGTTCAATATTCCGTTTCACTTGGAAATACGTCACAGCACTGGAGAAAAATCGTTTGCAACTTCCGGTTCACGGGGACTTTAAGTTAAATGTTGTCTAATCAGGCCGGCTCACAGTTAATCTCTTAGCACAGGCTGCTGATAAGACTATCTGACGTCTTTCAGTGTGTGTGGGAGAAAAACAAGCCCAGACGCATCCAGATAACACACACACACACACACCTGCCCACCGACCGACACACCTCAGAGAGCTGAAACCTCATTACAACAGCATAATAACATCAGACCACAGAGAAACGCTTCATTCACAAAAGGTTTATTGTAATAAAAACCGACTTTATACACAAATGCATTTATAAAAGTGAACATTAAAAGCAACTCTGCTTTAAAATAGCTTACAAACTACATTAGCTCTGTCTGAAACAGTAAACGCGCTGCTCAGCAGCCCGAGAGAGACAGAATGCTTGATGCGAGTCTCTGCTGGCGCTTCCGCCTGATACCAACCAACATACCACATGCAAAGCATTCTGGGTAAATACAATAATTTCCCCCAAATCCACACAACTCATTTCATGCCATCACAAGAGGAAGTTATTGCCTGAATATTGCACAGTAAGACTAAAAGAGCCAGGCAGTGACGTTTATTAAGGGAGCGGTGGCGCTATGGTTAAGGCAGAGGGGATTATGGGAGTTTGTTTGTGTGGCGCCACGCTCAACAGCAGCTCCTTTTAGGAATTATTAAAGTCCACAGCAGTTTTAGGCCTGAAACGTACTGTACGCAAGCATGCGAATGCAAATATGTTGTAAAACAAACAATGTTGCATTCTCAGAGTTGCCACAGGTGGCGCTATAGCAAACTGAAACGCCGGTCAGTTTTCTTAGTCGCCATAGGTGGCGCTATAGTAAACTGAAGCGTTAAATGCCATTAAGTTTTATTGTCGCTATTTGTAGGCCTGCTAAACTTAAGACTTTCACGAACTTGCGTAAAGTACGTTTCAGGCCTTTTAATTGCGTTACATTCTCATGACTGAGGTATCGTAGTTGCACTGAAACTGTGCGTGAGCACCAGTGAAAACACCCCAAAACCTGTTTCGGGATGATCAAAATAAACGAGTCACACAGAACAGTGCTGATAGGTCTCTAGAGTCGGTGGTCCAGCGGCCGCGTAACAACCAGTGCTTTAACGTTCATCTTAAATAAAGGTTTACGAAGTGAAGTCACGGGAACAGCTCCAGCTCTTAGCGTGGCAGTTGGTCGGTCAGTCGGGCAGAACCAGTCCCGTGCGCTCAGCTGGACACCATCATCAGGAGGTTTTTGGGAGGACTTGTGCGGCCACCCAACGTGAAGCGGTATTTGCAGCTCGCCGTTTGGTCGTACGCTGAGGTGCTAGGGGCGGGGCTTGATACGGGAGGCTCTGCCTCGTAGAGAACGCAAATGGACCCGTCTTCGCCGATGCGGTAGGACACTTCGTACGGGTCCACCCAGAGCGTCAGCTCCCGCGGCAGGAGCGAGAATAGCTGCCCGCTGGTCAGTCCGATACGGTTGGCCGCTCGGCCAATCAGAGGGTCCATTTCGTGATTGATCCGTATGCAGCGGTAACCGGAGCCCTTCTGCGGCCTGTCGGGGAACCAATGATGCTGGTAGTGTGCTAAAGAAAAAAAGGAAATGCTTATGTTAAAATCCTTTATATTTTACCTCAGGATTTATGACAATAGAACAAACAAAATGGACAAATCTTGTTTTTTTTTACATTAAACATCTAACTAAAAAGGCTAGTCCAGTGGTGTGCTATCTAGCTTTAATAACATGACCACTTAGGGTCGGAACTGGGAATCATGACCAAAATCAATAAGAAATTGCCTAATATAAGTTTAAAAATTCTCAAAAAATGCAACATTTTGTTTGTATCCACAAAAAACTGGAGGGAGGATCACTAAAGAAAGATATTAAGGCCCGTCCACACCAAGGACAACATTAGAGAATAGCACTACACCTACAAATGGAGAACATAACAAAAAACTATGAAACTATGCCTAAAGTTTATCGTTCTTAGTATAAACGGGCTTTCACATAGAGCTATGGTATATTGGTATTACTTTTATACATACACAATAGTATTTAAGAGACTATCAGTAACTGATATAGAAGTTAAGCAGTGTTTTTCCGTACCTGATAGCGCCTGCGCGAGACAGTCTCTAAACACCTGGAGCTGCGCGTCACTCAAGCGTCCGCGGCCGCGCAAAAGCCTGCAAACGAACCCGGCGGCGGCCGAAACCTCCGGGACCATCTCTGCTCCGGAACCGTGGGTCATTGTGCTCCGTCCAATAGAGTTCAGAATAAAAATACAGTTGCTGGAAGTTAAAAACCACAACCGCCGGCGTCCGTTTAGGTTTGATGCTGATAATTTAACGGAACAAGTTTAACGACGATGAAACACTAAACATTCCCCGAGAGATGTTCGGTCCAGTCGGTTCCGTTCCTCTGACTGCGCTCTGATGTGTTGTGAGAGGGGAGATTCCGCTGATATATACACGCACACATACACAAAGCCATCGACGTCAGTCGCGCTGATCCTGAGTGACACGCCCAGCGTCCAATCAAACGAAGAGGCGGGTTCTCCAGGCGCCATCGCTTCACTGATTGGTTATCAGGGTGGAAAACACTGCGTGTTGTGGCGACGCTCGCCTTCCGTCCGAGACCAAATATGGACATTGACGTCAAGCGTCAAACGGAGGTTTTTATGACGACTTTCGGGGGAAAAACAAAGACCGCGAGAACGCGCTTACCGTAAAGTTTCGGCGATAATTATAGAAGCGTGTGGCTTTACGGATCTGGTTTTCCTCTTTAATCGACACCTCCGCACATTAGAAACCCACACACGACCTAAAAACATCCAAACTAAAACACAAACACCAATGCAACAGAACATAACGATCAAAAGTTTTGAAGTCAGTTGTCAATCTCCTAAAAACATGCATACGATCGTAAGTAAATAGCCTACGTTTAAAGGTATGAATCATATTACAGTGGTTTCAGTGCAAAGGATATATATATATATATATATATATATATGAATCTGTATAATGAAGCTGTATTTTAAGCGTAGCAGCGACATCTGGTGGCCAAGCGTATCTCGCCACACACAGATGTTTAAATGACATCGTTTATTCCTCAAACACTTATTGATTTTTTCCCCGTTTAAATTTAGACACATATACGGCTGGATTATCTTTGACTCTGTAAATGTGTGTCTGACTCTCAGAGCATCTCTGGCGCTTTACATCCCTGTATCTGTTACCATGGCGACCGCTCACATCCTTCCTTTTCCAGCAGCTTTTCTTCCTGATGAAACACAAATCCATCACAATAATCCTCTGCTGAACATTAACATTTCAGCATTTTATTTTATATATAGGTTAGTTTTATAGGTTTAGGTTTTTCATACTAGATGTAGTAGTGTGTGTGTATACACACACATAATATAAACTAAAAATGTACTTTCTAAATGCTATAGTGTCTGACTGTAATACAGTGCAGATGGCAGGATCTGCTGTTGTGTTCTGTGTGTTTGTCATGTGGACTGACAGCAGGTTTGTCTATATTTGGCTGTAGTGTGTGTGTGTGTGTGTGTGTGTGTGTGTGCTGCAGAAGTTGATGAGGTTCATGTGAAGGGTTCTCACCATGGCAACACGTGTCTTCCTGAGCGCTGACTGAGACACATACATTGTTTATATGAATATGTCATATCAAGTAATGCACACACACACACACACACACACACACACACACACACACACACTCTTACACTCATTCACACACACACACACAGCCTGCAGTCCAACTGCTGTCTCCTCTGATCTGAGCTGACACGTCCCTCCAGCAGTGTGTGTGTGTGTGTGTATAAATGTGCATGAGTGTGTGAGTATGTGTGTGTGAGAGTGTTTCTCCTGAATCTCCTCATTCTTTTAGGAGAAAAATCTGAAGCTAAGTTGATCGTGAGAAAGGAAAACACGATGAAGTCTCCAAACCTAATCCAGCGTTTAGTCTGGGATTGCCACTGACTCTCTTCCCCATCCAGATCTCTCTGATATCTCATTGATATTTAAGTTTCTTCTGAGAAAAGTCCCCAGTGATCTCCCTCAGGAGGAACATCTAAACTATAGCGATCACAACACAAGAGGAATAGCTGATGAACGTTACAAACACTGACAGCCAATCAGAATCCATCCTGCTTTAAAGGCCCCCGAAATCAAAATATATATTTTCTAACCTCTTTAGTATGCATATGTTAGCCTTACGGTTATCTAGCCTAGTCTCTCACTTCCGCTAAAATGGATCAGGGATTTTTATGACATCACATCTTAATTCAAATGATCTGTAGAATCTAAAGCTCCGCCCCTTCTGCTATAAACACCTCCTGTGTGTTCAGTATTAGTACACACGCGATCACTGTCAGCTGATATAATGAACCGGTTCAAAAGGACGAATCATTTACGAGCCGGACATCTCTACCGCTGACACTCGAGTAATATGGGTTAGATGTGTGTTCAGTCGCTCAAACGCTTGAGTTTTATTACGTTTTCAAAACTGTACATTAAGAATGAAATGGCTAGAACGTATTTCCACCTACTGTTGAATCCAATGCATCATTAGCACTCATTCACAATTATTCATTTAGCTGATGCTTTTATCCAAAGCGACTTAGATAAAACCACAGTGGATTCGAACCCGGGTCTCTCACACCAAAGGCATGTGTCTTATCCACTGCGCCATCACCACCACTCAGATTCGCATCCATGTCAAATACAACTCACAGTATGAGGTAAACAACGATCTTGGCTGTTTCAGTGGAAATTACGTCAACACATAAAACAAAGCTAGGCGTTCCAAGGCACTTTAGTGGGACTTTAAAGAGATTGAGCATTTAAAGTCCCCGTGAACCGGAAGTTGCAAACGATTTTTCTCCAGTGCTGTGACCTATTTCCAAGTGAAACGGAATATTGAACAGAGGGCAGGGTTTGACTCTAGCGCTCCTCCTCTCCATCTCTCGCTCATAGCAAACTAACGGTTTGAGGGGAGTGGTTAAGCGTTTCCCCACCCAAACTGTGAAACCTACGTCATCAGAAAAATAAACCGTTCCAGACCGGAAGTAACTTTTCAGATTTTGATTAAAGATTACTAAGGTAAAACATTTTTTTAATATATATTCACTTGCACGGATTAATTGTTCACCACAAGACTAGTAATATTCGCTAACAAAGTAAATAGGTTCAATTTTGATTTCACGGGGACTTTAAAGAAAAACACAACAAAACTGCAGCGCTTATAATAAACACAACAATATCGTCTGCTGGTGTGAACACTAATATAGTTATCGTTATAGTTATCGTCCGCTGGTGTGAACACTAATATAGTTATCGTTATAGTTATCGTCCGCTGGTGTGAACGCTAATATAGTTATCGTTATAGTTATCGTCTGCTGGTGTGGACACTAATATAGTTATCGTTATAGTTATCGTCCGCTGGTGTGAACACTAATATAGTTATCGTTATAGTTATCGTCTGCTGGTGTGAACACTAATATAGTTATCGTTATAGTTATCGTCCGCTGGTGTGAACGCTAATATAGTTATCGTTATAGTTATCGTCCGCTGGTGTGAACACTAATATAGTTATCGTTATAGTTATCGTCTGCTGGTGTGAACACTAATATAGTTATCGTTATAGTTATCGTCCGCTGGTGTGAACACTAATATAGTTATCGTTATAGTTATCGTCCGCTGGTGTGAACACTAATATAGCTATCGTTATAGTTATCGTCCGCTGGTGTGAACACTAATATAGTTATCGTTATAGTTATCGTCCACTGGTGTGAACACTAATATAGTTATCGTTATAGTTATCGTCCGCTGGTGTGAACACTAATATAGTTATCGTTCTAGTTATCGTCCGCTGGTGTGGACACTAATATAGTTATCGTTATAGTTATCGTCCGCTGGTGTGAACACTAATATAGTTATCGTTATAGTTATCGTCCGCTGGTGTGAACACTAATATAGTTATCGTTCTAGTTATCGTCCGCTGGTGTGGACACTAATATAGTTATCGTTCTTGGTGTGGACACTAATATAGTTATCGTTATAGTTATCGTCCGCCGGTGTGGACACTAATATAGTTATCGTTATAGTTATCGTCCGCTGGTGTGGACACTAATATAGTTATCGTTATAGTTATCGTCCGCCGGTGTGGACACTAATATAGTTATCGTTCTAGTTATCGTCCGCTGGTGTGAACACTAATATAGTTATCGTTATAGTTATCGTTCTTGGTGTGGACACTAATATAGTTATCGTTATAGTTATCGTCCGCCGGTGTGGACACTAATATAGTTATCGTTATAGTTATCGTCCGCCGGTGTGGACACTAATATAGTTATCGTTATAGTTATCGTCCGCCGGTGTGGACACTAATATAGTTATCGTTATAGTCCGCCGGTGTGAACACTAATATAGTTATCGTCCGCCGGTGTGAACACTAATATAGTTATCGTTATAGTTATCGTCCGCCGGTGTGGACACTAATATAGTTATCGTTATAGTTATCGTCCACCGGTGTGAACACTAATATAGTTATCGTTATAGTTATCGTCTGCCGGTGTGGACACTAATATAGTTATCGTTATAGTTATTGTCCGCTGGTGTGAACACTAATATAGTTATCGTTATAGTTATCGTCCGCTGGTGTGAACGCTAATATAGTTATCGTTATAGTTATCGTCCGCTGGTGTGGACACTAATATAGTTATCGTTATAGTTATCGTCTGCCGGTGTGGACACTAATATAGTTATCGTTATAGTTATTGTCCGCTGGTGTGAACACTAATATAGTTATCGTTATAGTTATCGTCCGCTGGTGTGAACACTAATATAGTTATCGTTATAGTTATCGTCTGCTGGTGTGAACACTAATATAGTTATCGTTATAGTTATCGTCCGCTGGTGTGAACGCTAATATAGTTATCGTTATAGTTATCGTCCGCTGGTGTGAACACTAATATAGTTATCATTATAGTTATCGTCTGCTGGTGTGAACACTAATATAGTTATCGTTATAGTTATCGTCCGCTGGTGTGAACACTAATATAGTTATCGTTATAGTTATCGTCCGCTGGTGTGAACACTAATATAGCTATCGTTATAGTTATCGTCCGCTGGTGTGAACACTAATATAGTTATCGTTATAGTTATCGTCCACTGGTGTGAACACTAATATAGTTATCGTTATAGTTATCGTCCGCTGGTGTGAACACTAATATAGTTATCGTTTTAGTTATCGTCCGCTGGTGTGGACACTAATATAGTTATCGTTATAGTTATCGTCCGCTGGTGTGAACACTAATATAGTTATCGTTATAGTTATCGTCCGCTGGTGTGAACACTAATATAGTTATCGTTCTAGTTATCGTCCGCTGGTGTGGACACTAATATAGTTATCGTTATAGTTATCGTCCGCCGGTGTGGACACTAATATAGTTATCGTTATAGTTATCGTCCGCCGGTGTGGACACTAATATAGTTATCGTTATAGTTATCGTCCGCTGGTGTGAACACTAATATAGTTATCGTTCTAGTTATCGTCCGCTGGTGTGGACACTAATATAGTTATCGTTATAGTTATCGTCCGCTGGTGTGAACACTAATATAGTTATCGTTATAGTTATCGTCCGCTGGTGTGAACACTAATATAGTTATCGTTATAGTTATCGTTCTTGGTGTGGACACTAATATAGTTATCGTTATAGTTATCGTCCGCCGGTGTGGACACTAATATAGTTATCGTTATAGTTATTGTCCGCCGGTGTGGACACTAATATAGTTATCGTTATAGTTATCGTCCGCCGGTGTGGACACTAATATAGTTATCGTTATAGTCCGCCGGTGTGAACACTAATATAGTTATCGTCCGCCGGTGTGAACACTAATATAGTTATCGTTATAGTTATCGTCCGCGGTGTGGACACTAATATAGTTATCGTTATAGTTATCGTCCACCGGTGTGAACACTAATATAGTTATCGTTATAGTTATCGTCTGCCGGTGTGGACACTAATATAGTTATCGTTATAGTTATCGTCCACTGGTGTGAACAGTAATATAGTTATCGTTATAGTTATCGTCCGCTGGTGTGGACACTAATATAGTTATCGTTATAGTTATCGTCCGCCGGTGTGGACACTAATATAGTTATCGTTATAGTTATCGTCCACCGGTGTGGACACTAATATAGTTATCGTTATAGTTATCGTCCACCGGTGTGAACACTAATATAGTTATCGTTATAGTTATCGTCCGCTGGTGTGAACACTAATATAGTTATCGTTATAGTTATCGTCCGCTGGTGTGGACACTAATATAGTTATCGTTATAGTTATCGTCCGCTGGTGTGAACACTAATATAGTTATCGTTATAGTTATCGTCCGCTGGTGTGAACACTAATATAGTTATCGTTATAGTTATCGTCAGCTGGTGTGAACACTAATGTAGTTATCGTTATAGTTATCGTCAGCTGGTGTGAACACTAATATAGTTATCGTTATAGTTATCGTCCGCTGGTGTGAACACTAATATAGTTATCGTTATAGTTATCGTCCGCTGGTGTGAACGCTAATATAGTTATCGTTATAGTTATCGTCCGCTGGTGTGAACACTAATGTAGTTATCGTTATAGTTATCGTCCGCTGGTGTGAACACTAATGTAGTTATCGTTATAGTTATCGTCAGCTGGTGTGAACACTAATATAGTTATCGTTATAGTTATCGTCCGCTGGTGTGAACACTAATATAGTTATCGTTATAGTTATCGTCCGCTGGTGTGAACACTAATGTAGTTATCGTTATAGTTATCGTCAGCTGGTGTGAACACTAATATAGTTATCGTTATAGTTATCGTCCGCTGGTGTGAACACTAATATAGTTATCGTTATAGTTATCGTCCGCTGGTGTGAACACTAATGTAGTTATCGTTATAGTTATCGTCCGCTGGTGTGAACACTAATATAGTTATCGTTATAGTTATCGTCCGCTGGTGTGAACGCTAATATAGTTATCGTTATAGTTATCGTCCGCTGGTGTGAACACTAATATAGTTATCGTTATAGTTATCGTCCGCTGGTGTGAACACTAATGTAGTTATCGTTATAGTTATCGTCAGCTGGTGTGAACACTAATATAGTTATCGTTATAGTTATCGTCCGCTGGTGTGAACACTAATATAGTTATCGTTATAGTTATCGTCCGCTGGTGTGAACACTAATATAGTTATCGTTATAGTTATCGTCCGCTGGTGTGAACACTAATATAGTTATCGTTATAGTTATCGTCCGCTGGTGTGAACACTAATATAGTTATCGTTATAGTTATCGTCCGCTGGTGTGAACACTAATATAGTTATCGTTATAGTTATCGTCCGCTGGTGTGAACACTAATGTAGTTATCGTTATAGTTATCGTCCGCTGGTGTGAACACTAATATAGTTATCGTTATAGTTATCGTCCGCTGGTGTGAACACTAATATAGTTATCGTTATAGTTATCGTCCGCTGGTGTGAACACTAATGTAGTTATCGTTATAGTTATCGTCGCTGGTGTGAACACTAATATAGTTATCGTTATAGTTATCGTCCGCTGGTGTGAACGCTAATATAGTTATCGTTATAGTTATCGTCCGCTGGTGTGAACACTAATATAGTTATCGTTATAGTTATCGTCCGCTGGTGTGAACACTAATATAGTTATCGTTATAGTTATCGTCAGCTGGTGTGAACACTAATATAGCTATCGTTATAGTTATCGTCCGCTGGTGTGAACGCTAATATAGTTATCGTTATAGTTATCGTCAGCTGGTGTGAACACTAATATAGTTATCGTTATAGTTATCGTCCGCTGGTGTGAACACTAATATAGTTATCGTTATAGTTATCGTCCGCTGGTGTGAACACTAATGTAGTTATCGTTATAGTTATCGTCAGCTGGTGTGAACACTAATATAGTTATCGTTATAGTTATTGTCCGCTGGTGTGAACGCTAATATAGTTATCGTTATAGTTATCGTCCGCTGGTGTGAACACTAATATAGTTATCGTTATAGTTATCGTCCGCTGGTGTGAACACTAATGTAGTTATCGTTATAGTTATCGTCAGCTGGTGTGAACACTAATATAGTTATCGTTATAGTTATCGTCCGCTGGTGTGAACACTAATATAGTTATCGTTATAGTTATCGTCCGCTGGTGTGAACACTAATGTAGTTATCGTTATAGTTATCGTCAGCTGGTGTGAACACTAATATAGTTATCGTTATAGTTATCGTCCGCTGGTGTGAACGCTAATATAGTTATCGTTATAGTTATCGTCCGCTGGTGTGAACACTAATATAGTTATCGTTATAGTTATCGTCCGCCGGTGTGCATGTGCTTTAACTAACCCGACCCTGAACACTTGATGTGTGCTCCAGTGCGAGTGTTTGTGCTCTGACACGATTCTGTCACGTACTTTCGCCAGTGAGCGTCTCCCTCCCTCCCATAATCCTCCTCGCAGAACCCCGACTTTAAGGACAGTGGGTTTATTTATTCATGCCTCTTCTGGTTTACTGGAGCTTCTGATGCCTCGACACAGATTTGCACTTTCCTCTGGCGTGCGTTCATGTGCCGCCCGCAGGAGAGACTCGCGTGTGTTTCCCTGACGGCTGTCAGATTCGCTCACGTCCCGAATCTCCCACCAGTGAGTTCAGGATCCCAGAGTCCTCAAAAGCCCAGCGAAAACACGCCACAGAGGAAATCTGCGCGTACTGAAAGTGTACGTGTGCCTGAAAGCCAACAAGACTTATGAAAGTGTGTGTACGCCAGAACCTGCGCTAAATCGTCTTTATAAACAACATACGTCTCCTCCCTGAAATAACCATATATGAGCTGACGACGCCTTGTTTACAATGCAGATCCTTATCTGCATATCATTTGCATACGCATATTCATCCACGTGATGCCATGTTTAACGGTACGAGACATTAGAAAAATAAGAGTTACGGATGTGCGTCACATTACAGTGATAAAAATCATTTAGTAGCCAAAAACACGATTTATAGACTATCATGACAGAATATGCTAATCAAGTCAAGTATATTTATATAGCGCTTTTCACAATATAGATTAAGCTGATCAATGTTATTACTGATTTAATTAATGGTTAATTAATTTGAATATCCCCGTGACTAGAAGATAATTAATGCCACATTAGCAGCAGCTCATTTACATTTAAAGGCACATCCACAAAAACGGCATGTTTTTGCTCACCCTCAAAAAGTGACAAATCTAACATATTATATACAAATATCTGTGGGGTATTTAGAGCTGAAACTTTAACACACACACACACACACACACACTTGTGAGAAGGGGGACTATAGGTGTATTATAGGACCCCTTTAATTTTTGTCCTAAAAAGTCCTTTGAATGAATCAAGAATCAAAACTGGTGGTTGCAGACATTCTTAACTTTAACACTAGGACCAGTGATTAATGAGTTAATTCATTCTTCTCATTAATTAAATGCATATTTATGTCTTCACAGCTCCGGAATCTGATCGAATGAAGGACACGAGCGTCTAACGAGGGTCGACCCCTGCCAGCCAATCAGCTCTCGCGCTCAGCTGACAGGCGCTGCTGCTTGACCAATCACAGCAGAGATGTGCCAGAGGTGGGCGGGGCTTGAGTGCTGGAGTGGCAGTGTTCGGTGTCGAACGCTCAGAGAGAGAGAGAGAGAGGAGAGACAGCGCTCCGTTCGTCCGATACTCCTGCGCGTCTCTCTCACTGCAGCTCTGTATGCGAGTGTGTGTGTGTGTGTGTGAGCGTATATGTGTGTGTGTTCATGTATGCCGGCAGCAGCTGCACCGCTCCTTCATCCTCTTCATCTTCATCTTGCGTTCGGAGTGAATTCACAGCATTGGCGCACGATCCTGCTCATCTGTTGCCTTGGTGATGGGCTGTCGACTGTCAGGGCCGTGGATGGGCGACGGGATGGGGGTGAGTCCAGTGTGTGTGTGTGTGTGTGTAAATGTTCACGATTGTGTGCTGATGGTGATTAGGAGTGACTGGTTCAAACACACACACACACACGTGTACCGTCTCTCATGACTCATGCAGTGATGTGTGTCGGTATGAAGATGCAGCATGATTTTCATCATATGTGTGTGTGTGTGTGTGTGTGTGTGTGTGGTGCTGAGTGAGGAAAATGTTCACACAGCTGCGCTTCAGTCAACCTATAGCAGCGACAAACCGAACCAGGTTAAATAGAGCGTACGCTAAAGCGGCTGAACGCGCGCGATCCTGACTGAAATTAATTGCGTTTTCTGTTGATTTGTCTGTCGTTCAGGTTCACGGTCAGGATTTGACGCACCTGCAGAAGCGAGAGGCCTTCCGTATCCTGGCCAGCTACGAGCAGCCAATCACACTCCAGATCGAGGGGAGGGGGCGGAGCCTGCAGTATAACCGAACGACGGATTGCAGCACGCAAACGGAGCGACCGTGGGATCCTCTCCGTCCGCACTCGTGTTCCCTGCCTCGTCTGCCTCCCTCGGACAGGTGCGACACACCTGTAGCTCACCGGCGCCACCTGCAGGACAAACACAGACATGCAGACGTTCACACACAACGCAATCTCGCGCTGAAATTAGCCTATGTACCATGCTAGTTTATGAGCATTGCCTTTTTAAGAACAAAGTAGTTAAATAATTGAAATGACGAGTATACCAGTGTTTTTTTTTTTTTTGTTACGATATAAATTTTTTAAATACTGCAATACCGGTGGTGTATGGTGCTTTAACAGCGTTGGGAACGCGGCGTGACACTGTTTAAGAGGGTCTTTTCACTGTGCACTGTATCAGACTGTTTTTGTAAAGATTAAATAACTCGAAGAGAACGATAACGACAGCTTTACTGCTCTAACGTTAAAAATACTAACGTCTCGCACATTCACAGAAAATAGCTTTGTGTTGCACTACTGTTTGAACTTAGTGATTTCAATCGCCATGTTGTGTTTGAAGGACAGGCCTTTTTAAAGTACTCCGTCATGTGACCAAAAGTTGCTAATTTTAATTATGCCAGAGAAGCACTGACCAACGAGAATGTCCATTTATCACACGTTCCCATCCGTCACGCTCCGTCAGAGCCTTCTCGAGCATGTAAATGGCCTTAAGGCACAGTCATGCTAGGTTTTGCATCCATGCGCATGTAAACGCGGCAGAATGTGCATGCAAGCATATTTTATCCTTTGCTGCATCCTGAAGTTTCATCATGTGTGGTGAACGCTCACCTCTTGAGTTCATATAGCGAAAAGACGTTTATAAATTGAGATCCTTTCCAGTCTAGAAGAATAAACATCAAGCATGCAGTGGCTCCGGACTAAAAACATGATTAGTGAGCAATTAGCTCCTGAAATTAAACATTTAGGAACCAAATTAAATTTCCGTACTTTAGCTTAGACGTCAAAGTTGTGTGTCGTCATTAAGGGACATTTTAGTATTTTGAGTATTGAAATAATTTGGTGCTGACACTGATTATGTCCCATATAAATATAATTTAAAAAATTGTATGAACATTTCTTATTGTTTGAAGAAGTTACATGTTGATATTGTTCCAAACATGTCATCCACGTTTCTGCTTACTCACAAAGAAAGTTTCCCTTCAGCCTCAGTGCTGCTAAACCAGAACTAATAATATTTGTGTACAAAAATAAATAAAAAAATATATCTTTAATTACACATGGTTAAATGAAATGTCAGTGAATAGATTAATATAAATCTCACTAACCCGAAGTTAGTCCTAGTAATGGTTCCCGGTTCTTTTCAAACGAAAAAATGCGCGCTTTTCTGTGAGGACGTCGGTTGTGAACTCTGAACGATTCTCTGATTCAGACTCAGAGACCAAAAGTTCCTTGACTTCCAGGTTGTTTCGTGGATCTTTTTTGTGACTTATTCAAAATAACTGGTTCACAAGAGTCATTCGCACGTGAATCACGATTCAAAACGAGTTCGAGGTTGTATCGTGAATCTTTTCGACTGACGTCTCCAAAAGAACTGGTTCACGAGAGTCGTGAATCACGATTCACAACCAGTTCGGTGTTGTTTCGTGAATCTTTTTGACCAAAAGAACTGGTTTACATGAGTCATTTGCACGCGAATCGGATATAACGTACCAAGTTATCCAGATTTTCTAAATTTATATAATTTTCAAATTATCGTTAAATATTTAATATCCAAGTCACAGTTTGGTTGGCTTAGCTTGATACCGAACAGGGAGGAAAACTCATTTTCTCACTGCATTTAGTGGTGTTTAAAACTACCCATTACTGTTAATTATAAATGACCTATTACTGTTACAATTACTATTTATGTAATATTCATGGTTCATATAACCATAATACTCTTTGTAGGCGTCTTTATGCTGCGGTCGGCCTTTATATCAGAATGAGGTCAGATCTTTATAAACACAATAACGGCATCTTGTATGAAGGGGGCGTGGCTTGTGTTATCCTTTAATATTCATACAGATAAATGTAAGTGTAATATGAGTGTTTTGCTGTCTTCTCAGGATGTACTACAATCACATGACCCTGCCCGTGAACCGTAGAGAGGGAAGCAGGTACGAGTATCTGCCAAACACGCCCAGAGACCTGGAGCACAGGGAACGCCTGGCCTACAACGTGAGTTATTAACCAAATCACATGATGATGATGATTATCAGCTGATAATATTCATAAGGAGATGCATACAGATATCGATTCACCCTTTATGTGGAGAAAAACAGTGTGTGACCACTAGTGTCTGATACGTGCCACAGTTTAAAGGTCATTCAAACAATCATTTAGGTTGAATATCAAGTTTTTCTTTCCAAATCCACACAATGGCTTTAAGTGTGTTGTTTTTAAAAACATGCTTCTTGTGTGTGTGTGTGAGTGTGCTGTTCTCCAAACAAACACGTTTTTCAAAATGGAGCTGCTCTCTTATGCACTGGAATTATTCATGCATTTAGCTACGCTTGGGAATACACACACACACACACACACACACACACACAAGTGTGATGCGCAGGAGGAAACAGCCCTTAATAAAGAAGCTGACGGAGACACGGACAGACGTTTACTCTTCAGTGGGGTCAAATAATCACTCTTCCACATCACAGCCTCGTTATGCTAATCATCCATCAGGAAGCATCGGGAATGCTGGGATGTTCTTCTCACACACTCCGATATGAACTCATCTCTGCACTGCTTTAATGGTTTCAGGAGCAGGAGTTCTCCAGTGGCGTTTCTCAGGGACAGAACTGTCTGATCGGCTGCTGCAAAACCAACTTCGAGGAGCCCAGAAGTTTCCAGAGTCAGGTGAGAGTCACATGACCAGGACTGAAGGAGTAATGGACTGAATTATTGAGTATTCGATGTGGGGTTGTGAATACAGTCAGAAACTGTGACTGACTGAATCTAGAACCGCAGCGGCGTGTTGTTGTTGTTCTGGTTCTCGTGTGATTCTCTGCATCCGAGGCGAGGAGTCACATGTTATGTAAGTTGTGTGTTACCAGGCAACTAGCGATCATAAATATGGTGAAGATTCTGAGCCACCAGAGCGACTCTTGAGCCGTTCAGTCAATGTAGAATTTAAAGGAGTAGTTCACTTCAAATTTCAGTCGAAAAAAAGAAATTTAGGTTTTTGAGGAAAACACTCCAGGATTTCTCCATATAGTGAGTTCAATGGGGTCCAACGGGTCGAAGGTCCAGATGTGAGTTTCAGCCCAGCTTCAAAGTCTCGTAATGCGTGTCGTAATCGTCAAATTACATTTGATTTTACTTCCGTTTGGGTATGTTCCTGTCAAAATTTTTACGGCTTTTGTTTTTCGTTCATTGAACAGGTTCGGAGCCCTGATTGCCCATAGCGAAAATAATAGCTTTAATCGGCTATTTAAATAATAGCCGATTAAAGGTATTATTTTCACAATCGATACTACCATTACCGATACATCGGTGCATCTCTAGTAAAATCTCTGTAACTCATCATCACCTCGAGTTGCTTATTGCTCTAATGTCTTAATGTGTGTGTTTGTGCCAGACTGATGAAGATGACTACCTGATGGAGAAGCCCCTGGGTTACCTGCCCCTTCACCACGAGCTGGACAGTGGCCTCGGCTGGACTGATGGGAGTTTCCACCAGGGGGAGCTATCGGGGGTGGAGACGGAAGAGGGGGTGGAGGAGTGCCACGCCCGCGGAGGAAGAGGTGGCTCGCCCTCGTCAGAGTCCTTCATCTCGTCAGAACTCAGCGACTCTGGTTTCTACAGCGTCAGCACTGGCGAGTTCTTGCGTTTCCAGCGTCTTCTAGAGAAGCGCATGCGCCATTACAATGCCCGACTACACCACCAGGGGGAGCCGTGTTCCCGCGAACGACGTGACAGCCAGATTAAACACCCGCTGGAAGCCATCCCGGAAACGTTGACGGTACAACCTCAAAATGTCTGCGTGGGGTCGCGCGGATTGTCGCGGGTGTCATCGGTACAGTATCGCAAGGCGGAGCGACCATCTTTGAACAGGCATAGCTCTAGCAGCGGCTCGCTGTTTAATCCCGCGGTGCACTCCACGTGTAGTACGCCATCCGGCCTGCGGCGGGCGTTGCCACATCCGAGCTCTGTAGGGATGCTAAGGAGGAGCCGGACACTTCACAACCGCCCTACACCCATGGAGTACCGCAGACGCGCTAGTCACCCAGCCTCGCCTAATTATAGCAGCGCTACGCTGCATCCCTGCAGCCACGGAGCCGACCTTCCCATAAATCTCCCCGAGGAGCCAGACTTGCCCCTGGTTATTCACCCGGCGCTCCCTACACGGACTGCACACGCTATGCAAGCGATGAGCCAACCGTCCCTGATCTCTCCCGCGGAGGAGCACTGCTACATGCCTCCGAATCTCCATGAGCGCAGAATGCAAGCATCCACCGATCCCGTAATGGAGCAACCGCCTAGCAGGCAACGGTTCCACACGTTAAGCCACACGCCCAGTCAGGATGCTAACGATACCTGGCCGAAACCTGCTAACCGCGCGGGCTCGTGTGGAGGAGGTGGACTCTATAGCACCTTGGAGGGACACGTTCCAACCGCAGCCACTAGAAAAATGCCGAGTGGGAACTTGCGTGCAATGCGGAACCAGATGCTACGGGACAGAGCGTCCCGACTAGCGGATGAGCGTAGCGGCATGAGCACGGATGAGGAGAGTCATAGCGAGGTGCGCATGGGTCGCTACTGGAGCCGGACCGAGCGACGCGAACATATGCTACAGAAACAGCAACAGCTGCAGGCTAGAGGGGGCGTGGCTACGACTGGATTGGTGCACGGGGTCGTGGGAGGAGCCAACGTAGATAGTTATAATACAGTTCTCGAGATGAGCCAGAGGAAACTAAGTCGCCTGCGGAACCGGAAGCTACTGGACGACTGGACCACCGTAGAGGAACTCCTGACGCACGGATCACGCCTGAGCGAAGACGCCCGGCAGCTGCCCACGTCGTTGCTAACAGTCACAACTGTATAGCGACGCCTGCCGAGTGTGTGTGTTCAGATGTGCGTGTGTGTGTGTGTGTTTGTGTGTGTTGGACCGCCCGCACTACACAAAGCTACCTCCTGAAATTGAGGTTTACTGTAGATATACAGATGTTTCCAAAAAACACCGTAGTAAATTCATTTTTAAATGTTATATTTGGAGTATCTCGTTTTGCATTGTGTAGTAAAAAATATGTTTTGTTAATATGGAACGAAATCACTGCAGTTTTGATTCGACAGCATGAAGCAATACAACAACACCAGACAAAACCGAATTTTATTTTGGTGCCAAGAAAGGGTTACGTTGATCTATTTAAGGTGGTGCTAATCGTGAGATTTCATTTAATTTCAGATTATTCGCAACTATAGCCTATAAACGACATCCGGATTACGTCACTTTTGCACAAAATTGAAAATTCCCTCTCAGACCGTCTTCCGCTAGCCGAGTGAATTTGTGGCGTTAGCACAGCTCCACCCTTCAATCGTGAATCTGATTCTCTGGGAATAACATCGAATAATCTAAAGGCAGGTCGTGAGTCAGACGATTGGGTGTTCAGGGTCATGCTGGAGATCAGGCAGCGGAAAACATGAGTGTGTGTGCGGGTTCTTGCACTATAACTGTAGTTCTGTAGAGTATTTTTAAAAGCTATTTTTCTTGTGCTCTTCACAATTGATGTCACTAAAAGGAACAAAGAACTTTTATAAAGACTCAAACGAGAATTATAAGTGGTGTCAACAGCAGTACAACAATTTGGCGAGAAACTAAACTGTTCGTTTGTTCTTGTTCGGTGCAGAATTATATCTTCACCACCACACCTTTTCACAAACCAGGGGGTTTCAGTTTTACAATGGGCACCGTGAAACATGAGCAGAATGAATGAACTTAGCCTAATTCCCTCCCCTTTCGGTCGACCACCATGGGACCTTATTTCGGAAAAAAATTGTATGGTAGTCAATGGCGAGAGACAACAAATATTTTGATCTTGTTTGAATTGTGCCCTGAATTACACATATGATGTTCGTCAATTTAAAAGATAGATTTTAAAGTAAAGAAAGTCACAGTTTGATGTGAAACCGTTGAGGTATAAGACTGTGAAAATACGTAATTACAAAGACTACAAATCCCAAAGGTGCACATTTTCATGAATGAGGCTAACTTTACTGAGGCTAATATCAGTCATTGTTTCTATAGACTTGCGTTATAATCGTAACATTACGCCGTCATGCCTGAGTGTTTTGTACCAGACTGTACACACACGAGCAGCGGATCTTGCTTGTTGTTTCGCTTCCCGGGACGGGAGATGTAGTTCATTAAGCGATTTTCACATAAAACTAAATGTTACTCTTCTGTTTTAAGACAAACTGCAACGTTTTTGACTTTCAGAATTATCTTTTAAATTGACAAACATCATATGTGTAATAAAGGGGAATGTTCAGACGGAATAAAAAGATAAGTTGTCTCTCGCCATTGACTACCATTCATATTTTTTCAGAAATAAGGTTCCATGAGCCGGAAGCGGAGGGGCGGGACTTAGGCTCTCTATCTACAGAAATGCAACAATAGGCTTTATGCACAACTTACTTCCGCATTCTCTGTAAAACAGGTCGCATCGCTTCTGGTCCAGGTCTTTTGTATGTGCTTCATGAAATTTTTTGCGGTTTTACTCAAGATAACTTAAAAGGAGCGTGCAAAGATTAGCATAACCAATATCCCTCACATGTGCAGATTGATATTTAAACGTTTTATATTTTTTATTCTTCACAGTAACGTTTGGATATTTAAAAGAAATAAAACGCCAATAACAAAGTGAACTAGGTAGGTTAGCTGATTACCTTAAATATTCATAGATATCGTAGTCAGTTCTTAAGGCCGTTAACACTTTCTCTGACAAGCGGATGCGATGAGACCCGTTTTCCGGTTTGGTCACGTGACGCACGGCATAAAGCCTATTGACATGATTTTCTGAATGATTCAAGATTGTTCACACCAAAGACGTTAACTAAAGATAAAGAATTCTAATTTAAAATAATACATGCCCACAGAGGAATGGAATCACTCTTGTTAAACCACTTTTTCCAGCCAATCTAGGATAAAAACATTAACAGCCAATCAGAATCTATCGTGCTTTTAAGAGCTGAACATTTAAAACGGCTGATAAAACTTCAGCACACTTATAATAAACAGAACGTTGGTGTGGACAGTAATATCGTTATAGTTATCGTTGTCGTTTTTGGTGTGAACGGGCCTTTACACGTTTTCATCCTGCTCCCGTTTCATGAGTGAGACCTAATTAGTCTCCAAAGTAGAGGATGAAGTATTTTCAGAGTTACCTGTCAACGTGGGATGTTTGCTGATCTGTATTTTGAGCAGAAAATCAGGATCTTTTCCACCTGCACTATTTTTGGTGCACGAGCACTGGAGTGTTTACAATTTTTTCCTCACAACTGTGACTCTCTGCGACGCATCTCGCTCTCCCGCCCTTTCTGAGGTGAATCACGTGACGTCCTTTTCACCGTGAGTCAAACGCTGTGAATAATGGATTTGAACGGATGAGACGTGCGCTATTAACGGAACTCTGCCTCTCTCTCTCATTGGATTTTGCTCGTTTCCACTTTTAGAAACCATTTTCTTGGAATATGATGTACATGTGGTTGTAATAAAGATGAGATTTTAATTAGCTACTTCAAGTGTTTTTTGGTCCTTATTGAAGTTGGCGTTCATAAGTGAAATCTGTCAAAACTAATTCTCTGAGCAAATTGCAATCAGTGTTCCCACACACTTTGACCACACGAACTTTTTAATATTTTCAGGCAACTTGACCATTTTCTTGCTTGACCAGTTTTTTGCCCCAATATTATTTGACAAACATTATCCTAATTAATATTTATTACAATTTAGATACATTTACCAAATTTGTAATATGATATTTTTTGTTTCAATCATGGTTTCAATGGGAAACTGAACCGTGATTACCACAGAACAGAAGATTTTTCACTTAAGTTGAGTGTTTCTTGGATCTCCACTGACAGCTCAGATTTTTAATCTGACCACTTCAAAATAAATGTTTAAGAATAAAGCACAAAATGGAATCCAACAGTAGAGTAGAAAAGCACAAAATGGAACCGAATAACAGAAAAATGTCTTTCTTGCTCCCTCTCTTTCCTGCAAGCACCACTGACGCCACCTGCTGGATGGACGCGGGTTATGCAGAGACACAAAATGGAGGCGGTTGATTCACCTCAAGATCGGAAGAAATGCGAACAAGGTTGATGTTCTTGATTCCTCTAAAACATTTGTATCAAAACACTTACATTAAAAAAAATATATTAAATATTAACAAACAAAAATATAAAAACTAAAAAATATTAACCCAAAAAATAAATTATGATGTTAAAAATAACGCAAATTAACGTAAAATGTATTTTGCGAATGTTAAAATAAACTAGATGAAACAAAAACACATTTGAGATATTTACAAAAATACAAATCTTATATTTAAAAAAATGGTAAATGTCTAAATAAACTTGATTAAACAATGTGAACAGACTAAAATGTTAAACTAAAACGAATAAAACATCTGAAATTAGATTTAACTGAATTTAAAATTCATTTGTGAATGTGAAAATGAACTGGATTTGACCACAAATTTCCAAACTAAAAAACAAACAAAAACATTTGCGAAATGCGAACAAAGTTGATTTATGTTCTTGATTCTATTGAAAACATTTGTATCAAAACACATTATAGACAGAAACCACAGTCTCAAAAAACAAACTGGTTTAATATGTATATAAAAAAACACGACCAGTCTAAGGATCTCACAGAAAAAAACAAAACAAATATATCCGACTGAGTATATGACCCAACTAGTGCTTAAACACAGAGACAGATCGACCTACTCTAAATAAAAATACATGCTTCCCTCTTCTTCACTCTCTAAGCAAGGAAACGAAGCAGACGGGCTTCAGACTGTAACGTCCTTCTGTAATAATGCAACTCAATTCCAGTCCGTAGAGTTCATATAAAAGAGCCTCATTCATCCACACCGACAGGGGGCGCCGGTGTCCAATCAGTCCAATCCCTGCACCTCATGCGGCTTGTACACTGACGAAACAAGATTTCCTGAAAGAACAGCATTCGTTTGGTCAAATTTAACATCTAAACACGTCAAATTAATACTTTTATAAATAAAAACGCATTGTTAAAATCCTTCAGGTTAACGTAAAGGCCCAAAGAGCGAAGCGACAAAGCAATGCAAAACTAAAGCTCATATTGATCCATTTATGAGGGAAATTTGCATATATTAAATCGCAAGCAAATCGTTTATGTGCTACAAGATACGAACAATCTGAACATTAAAAAATGCTTAGTTAAAATAAAGCTGAAATAAAATATACATTTTAAATGAAAAATTGACATGTTTCCTTAGCTACTAAGCAAAAATTGTTTAAGGTTGAAATAGAACAACTTGTTAATATAAAATGACAATAGAAAAAAAAAACGAATAAAAATAAAAGCTATTAATAAAGACTATAATAGTATATTAATAATACTAAAATTTCATTGCTGAATCGATAATCCAATCCACAAACATATGACTTTTACCAAACGACTTGTGAATCATGCTGAAAGGACTGTATTTGAACATACGATTCGCTCGTCTCTTAAAGATTCACTTTTAAATCTGAATCATTCACAGTTAAAGATTTCGTAGTGATAAAAACTACGTTACAAATAACAGAATAAATTAAATATTGTTTCATGGGAATGAATTATGGAAATCCCTCATTCTGTCACTGTGAATATTGACTCTGAAGAGATTAAACAATATGAACAAACAAAAGCGATAAAAAAATGCGAAATTTCGCAAAATAAACAGAATTAATAATATGCACAAATAAAAATGGACATTTAAAACTGTTAATATTAAAAATAGTGTGAAATTATAGGATGAAGTTCAAAATTTATTTAGCGAAAAGCATTAAAACGACATTATTATTACTAAAAATGAGGTAAAATCTCTTAAAGACACATTTTTACAGCTAAAAGTGTCACGTTTAAAACAAGTTTCCGTAGTAATATCAATATCACTCTGGTTTTTGTTTAGCATCT